CTTGCAAAATCGCAGGGTGTTCAAATATTTCTGTTCCTCACTGTACATCACTTCCTACTTACTTATAGAACCAGATCTCCAGGGGTTACATCACTTCCTACTTACTTATAGAACCAGATCTCCAGGGGTTACATCACTTCCTACTTACGGAACCAGATCTCCAGGGGTTACATCACTTCCTACTTACAGAACCAGATCTCTAGGGGTTACATCACTTCCTACTTACTTACGGAACCAGATCTCCAGGGGTTACATCACTTCCTACCAGGAATATCATAAAAACCAGAAGGGAGAAAAGCTCCAATATTGTAATACCTTTATTAAAACAGCATAGTGCACCACATCCATTAAAACCATAAACTTGTATGCTCACATTCAATAGTGCATTCCACCCCGTGATTGGTAGTTGCATCCTATTTCCCAGCAAAAATGTTCAGCTACAAAAGCTTTTCCATGTAGAAAGACAGTTGTGCCCTGAATTATATAAGTCATGTTAAATTCACATCACTTTTATTTTAAATCTTGATTTTATTTCACTGCTTTCAACAAATGGTTCCTTTTTCAAACTTCATTTAGATTTACTCAAAAAATTCAGTGCACGTAATGTACTCCCACATGTTAAGAATAGGACAGCTGCAGCATTAGTAATAATCAGAGAGGAAAGCCTATCAAAATATTAGCGTCATTAGGCGCTATGCATTAACTGCATGCTTTTTGTTATGCAAAGTAAGGCAATTTACATCACTTAAAATATCTTCAGGGTCAAGGGTATCCTAGATTTTTTTTTAAACTTTCTTTTTAGTTTTGTTTTGTTAAAATGCAGTAGGCACTTACTGTCAGACAAAGATGTAATTAAAAGTATTCCTGCTTCATAAAGCAAGTCTTGTGGGCATTGAGTTCTTTTTTTCTTTAATTCACATACATTTGTTTTGCACATTAACTCTTTAAAGCAGTCCTAAAATTTCTAGGACTTGATTGTCCCCACCCCTTGCTGAAGTTGCAAGTAGGCCCCTTAACCACTTGCCTACCGGGCACGTATACCCCCTTCCTGCCCAGGCCAATTTTCGCTGCTGGGTGTTTTATTTTTTGCACTATAAACAAAAAAAAAAGAGCAAAACATTTGAAAAAAAAAGGTTTTCTTTGTTTCTGTTATAAAATTTAGCAACCAGGTAATGTTTCTCCTTCACTGATGTGTGTTGATGAGGCTGCACTGATAAGCAGCACTGATGGGCACTGATAGGCAGCACTGATGGGCACTGATGGGCGGCACTGATGAGGTGGCACTGATGGGTGGCACTGATAGGTGGCACTGATAGTTGGCACTGATGATGGGCACTGACTGGCGGCACTGCTGGGCACTGACTGGTGGCACTGCTGGCGGCACTGCTGAGCACTGACTGGCGGCACTGCTGGGCACTGAGGGGTGACACTGATGGATGGCACTGCTGGGCTGCACTGATGGGCACTGGTGGGTACTGATGGGCACAGGTGAGTGGCACTGAAGGGCACAGGTGGTTTGCACTGCTGGGCACTTATGGGTGGTGGGCGGTACTGCTGGGCATTTGTGGGTGGCACTGCTGGGCACCGATCATCAGGGCACTGATCATCAGTGCCCTGATGATCTGTGCCGATCCCCCCCCCTCTGACATCTTCCGGTTCTCGGCAGTACTTTCCTCACGCTGTGACAGCATGAGGAAAGTGCAGCCGTTAACCGGCAATTGCATTTCCCGATGATCAATGTGTCATTGGACACAGCTTATCACATGGTAAAAGGCCGCTGTGATTGGCCTTTTACCATACCACGTGATCAGCTGTGTGTCCGTATAACACAGCAATCACGGAGATCGCCAGTGCGTGCCCTTGTGGGTGCGTAGGAGAGCACATTCTGGGAGGACATCATATGACGCCCACCCAGAACTGGCCAGTCACAGTGAAGCCGGCATTCAGCTATCTGCGGTTGACAAAGTGGTTAAAGCCCAACTGAACTTTCAGCTTAAATCAGCGGAACATGTTCCAAGTGCACCAACATAAGAGGCATTCAAAGTCCTACAGTTGGTTTTCTTTAGAAAGCAACCTCAGCCTTAGTGGAAAAGCCTGTCCACTGCTAGCATGCTGTAGAGATAGACTCTTGCTCTCTGTGTGAAAGAAGAGTTCTTTCTGAAGGGGTCTGACACTCCCCTTGAAAAGTTCCAACTAGAGCTGTCCAATTAGTTGGGAGCATAGGCTTTGCTGATTACAGGCCTGACTCAGTAAGGGCATCAAACAAGGACCCTTCTCTGCAGCATGCTAGCAAGTGGCAGGCTTTTCTACTGCTTTCTAAATAAAACTAACTGTACAGCTTTGTACAACTTTTGATTTGATGCTCCTGAAATGTATTTAAACTAAAATTTTAGTTAGGCATTTATTATTTTATTATTATATTATTATTATACAGGATTTATATAGCGCCAACAGTTTGCTCAGCACTTTACAATATAAAGGGAGACAATACAGCAATGATATAGTTCAATACAAGAGGCTTAGGAGGGCCCTGCTCCTTGGAGCTTTGCAATCACAGACATTTAATGCTTACCTAATATCAAAGTTAAGCTTCATCAGTTTACTGGTGATCCTTCGCTACCTCTGCTCAGGCAGAGGTAGTCAATCAATACCTCTGCATTTCAAAAATCCCACCAATCCAGATGGAACAAGCCTCCAGTAAACCAAAGGAGCCCAATCCTGGCAATCAGTACTTAAAACAGAACTTTACTCTCTCAGTCAACATTGACTATTTGAAATCCTTATGCTGTTAGCATTAGTAAATAGATAGGAAAGTAGGTCATATTTACGTTTTAAACTTTTTTTTTCAGGTCTTCAATTACTTCCTGGTTTCCATGTCTAGGCAAATTATGTCATACATTCCAAGAGTTTTCAGGAGGGGTTTTTGTAGCTAAGTTCTCTTCCTGTCTGCATGCCTGAGCTACAGGCAGATGAATTCCAGGAAGTAAATGCTTACCTTACTCAAGATGGCAATGGCCAAAAATGCTAAGGGGTGTTTTTCAAAGTGATTTCCCTGCAAAATAAAGCATGGAGACATGGATCAATGGGTGAGTTTGCATTAAATATTAAAAATAAATAGTGTTTTTGGTTTGTGGAGCTGAAATGCAATGTAGTTTCACTTTAAGTGATTGAATGCAACCTTGTCTACAGCAAGGCAACAGCAGATTCCAGATTACTCCAGACTTTAAGTGCACTTTGCTCTTTTTATCCCATACATATTTTCATGTTGTACTGCAAATTCTAATCACGGGTCTCAAAAGTCATCACCTTTTTAGGCTTTACACTATGAAGTGTACAATTTATGTATCTCCTTGACAGAAACCTCTTGTCTAAGAAATCCCTGGAACCATTGGCAAAAAAATTGGTAACATTCCTTCTACCATATATTCAGGAAGGAATGATTTGCCTTAGTCTCAAAATACCCTCCTTGGTCCTTTGAAATTGGCTGCCCTGAGACAGGCTTACTGGACCCCGAGGCAGCAGGGAATTTGTGAATTAGGGTTACAGCTGTGCTCCAGGAAAAACACCTATTATTGCAGTTATGAATTCATCAACAAAAATAAAAATGATATCTAAATATCAGACTCAGTCCCAGGACCTAGACTTGATGTAAAGTTTGTGACTAATTGCTGTAAATCAGCAATATACTCCCAGAAAACAAACCTAAATTGCATTGAAAGCAAACACTGTTTTTTTGTTTAATTTTGTTTTTGTACAACAGGGATTTTTTTTTTTGCTGCCTGTGTCCCATTGGAGAGATATTCCTTCACTACCATCCCAAAAATGCAAAAGGAAATAATAAGAAGAAGCTTTCCAAAGAAGGGGGTGGGACAGGGTATCTAACAGTTGTCATTGGAACAAATGACCCCTTTGGAAGATTTCCCCCCGTTTCTGTTCAAGTGGCAATTGTACATTTTTTGCATTTCTCATTCCTTTCTGTTCTTGTGACTGTGGTCATCAGCACAAACAGAGAATGTGAAACTCTCCAGAGGGACACTGACAGCAATAAAATTCTGATAGGATTTACACGTTCAAATTTGATCTACAACATAAAACAAATTTGGATATACGTTAAAGTAGACCCAAGACCTTCTGCTTTCTAGTTCCCATGTCACCTCCTCCCATGCTTGCCTCCAGGACTTCTACCGAGCTTCTCCCATCCTATGGAACTCTCTACCCCAACCTCTCCGGCTGTCTCCTAATCTATCCACCTTTAGACGATCCTTGAAAACCTTTCTCTTTAAAGAAGTCTATCCTGCTTCTACCTAGTAAACCATTTATTTCCTCCATCAACTATTACCTTTTGTAGCACTCAACCCTTCCTCCTAGATTGTAAGCTCTAATGAGCAGGGCCCTCTGTTTCCTCTTGTACCAAATTGTATTGTAACTGTAATGTCTACCTTCATTTTGTAAAGCGCTTTGCAAACTGTTGGCACTTTATAAATCCTGTATAATAATAATAACAATAAAGTAGAAATCCGTTAAAGTAGAAATCCAGTCCCAGCACTGGCTTTGGTGTAGTGGAGGGACTGCGGACAACGGATGCCCCATGACGCCACTGCCCAGGCACTGAAACCATTGTTGCTGTTCTCAACTCTCCCCTGAAGCTTGTCAGTCACCAGCTCTCTGCTCTGCCCCTCCAGCACTCACTGGAGCACCAGGTTGTGAAGTTGGTAAGACCAGCTGGAGTAAGCTGCTTATCAGGCATCTATGTGTTTCCACCAATATGGCCAGGATCCTTTCATAGCCTGGAGTAGCCTGTGGGCTTTAGCCTGGTGTCGGCTGAATTTAGGTCACAGTAGTACAGAACTAAGTGTAAGTAAGTGTCACCCACACTCTGTCCCAGCCTTTCTCAACCAGGGTGCCCAGGCACCCTGGGGTGCCTTGAGGTTTCTTCAGAGATGCCTTGGCACATTACCTGAGCGAGGGAGAAAAACTGAGGAGAAGAGAAACGCTCAGTACTAGTTTGCAAAAGTGTATTTGCTTTGGAAGAATAAATCATCTCTAACGTTAGGTGTCCTACATGTGTGGATGTTGCTGCATTGTATAAAAGTATTACAATAGTTTTTCACATTTTAGAATTGGATGCCTCGGGACTGTCCATAATTTTAAAGGGTGCCTCGGGACTGTCCATAATTTTAAAGGGCGCCTCGGTACTTTCCATAATTTTAAAGGGTGCCTTGACTGAAAAAAGGTTGAGAAACACTGATCTATCCAACGTCATAAAAAGTGTATGCAGGGCTTATGCTTTAATTTCCTATAAGATCATTGTCCAAAAAAAACCCCCAAAAAACATTTAAGTATTTATATATGTTCCTCATGAAAATAACATAAAATTCTGTATATAACAAAGTTACACAGAGGTTTTATTGTTGTACAGTACTGGTGCAGTTCTAGTTTATTCACTAACATCTGCAAATATTATTCAACCAAAAATGGACAAATGTATTCATTTAGCTTATTTTCCCTCGATATGAAAATGAAACAGAGAGCTTATTTTTTACATGTATGTCAAAATAAATTTAGTCCACCCATTTTCTACTCCTAATCTCCAATTCAGTATTTTCCTTTAACAGGAACAACTGCATCCTTCCCTCAGCTGTTATTAAATTCAAGGAAAAATAAGTACACCAATCACCCAGACCTGTTAGGGTTGTGTGGGAAATGTCCTTCGGTGCCAAGCCTGCCAGTCTACATGATACAGCAATCAGTCTTCTTGATGAATGCCCTAATACTGGAGCCAATTTTAACATAGTAGCTGAATCATGTCTCACAAAATAAATGTGCTAGGTTTGTAGGATGAAAAAAAAAATCTACAACAGAGATTTAAGGATCTGTGCAACAAAGGTTTTAAATTCAGAAAACATAATAATATGTTTATTATGAGCCACATCTTTTTTTTTTATAAAGTTTAATTTAAAGAGAAAACAATGCATCTTTGGTATTAGGGGGAGGAATAGTGCCTCATCATTGGTGTCAGTGGAAGGTATAGTGCCCTGTTGTTGGTGTCAGAGGGAGAAATAGGGCCCCATTGTTGGTGTCAGTGGGCCTCATTGCTGATGTTAGTAGCAGGAATGATGCCCCATTGTTGGTGTCAGTGGGAGGAATAGTGCCTCATCATTGGTGTCAGTGGAAGGTATAGGGCCCTGTTGTTGGTGTCAGAGGGAGAAATAGGGCCCCATTGTTGGTGTCAATGGGCCTCATTGCTGATGTTAGTAGCAGGAATGATGCCCCATTGTTGGTGTCAGTGGGAGGAATAGTGGCTTGTATCAGTGGGAGGAAAAGTGCCTCAAGGGCGGGATAAAGGCAAGAAAAGGGCCGCACAGGGAGTGAGCCTGACTGGGCCCCCAGAGTTTGGTGGGCACCATGCGATTTGCAATACATATCTCTTCTTGATACCTTCAAGGCGTCACTTTTAAATTTGCATTTATATACTTGTAATGAATTTTATCTTTATAACTGGAATTACTGCATCTTGTTCCAAAAATGTGAGACAACTTTTTGATTGGTTGTTAAAAATAGAGGTACCATTTTTAGGTGTGGTTAAAAGTGGGCAAAGTCAATGGAGTATGCCCAGATCTTATTTTGAAAATCTGGTCTGTGCACTGGGTCCAGTGCCTAGTTTGCCATGTTCCTAGGGCTGGTGCTTCCACTAGGCAAACTAGGCAGCCGCCTAGGGTGCAATGCAATCTGGGGGTGCGTGGGCACAGCACTCTTTCTGTGTGGCCTATGGACCTCTTGTATGAAATCTCCATTTCTCTGCAGAGTCCCCTCTCCTCATACACAGAGAATGATGAGGGAATGATGATATCTTTACTCTGTATAATTGTATCACAGCCCACAGCCTGTCCGCACACATGACCATTTAGTACATATTATATATATATATACATATATATATATATATATATATGACAATATTCCATGTAGCAGTGAAATGTCGGCTTCCCTTAGGATGGGAATTGATGACATTAGCCCAGGATCCGGGCGGTCTCTGATCAGAGGATCCTCCAGTTGTAACAGGCAGCTAGTGACCGAATGGGGCATGTCCAGCACTGGCTCCGCCTTCTTCTGCACAGCTGGAGCCAATCAATAGGTAGGGGGTGCTCTGGTTGCAGAGTTAACCCTATGTGATTAAGATGATTGGGGTCCAATGTGTATGAGAGGGAAGGTGTAGTGCTGGGAGGCCACCTTTCTTCACTGAGAGCCGGAGCCTGAACTCCGCACCCCAGCAGGAGCCATCAGAGGTGAGCCGAGCCTAGGAGGATGGCAGGTCTTGGAGGTGACAGGACCAGGAGCGGGGCAGACAATGGTTGGGGTGAGCTGATTGATTGTGTGGGATGCTGCCACTTCATGAATGATCCCTCAGCTGAGGGGAGCGGCGGCAGAGGGGGAGGAAGAAAAAGACAGAGGAAGATGCTGGGTGTCTGTGGTCAGTGTAGCAGCTGAGCTGCGGGTCCTTCCAGTGTTCCTCTCAGACCCAGTCCCTTACTGCAAGCCGGCTAGGCCTTGGCTGAACACTTTAGAGTTTTGTAACTCTATCTTGTTTTTTTGTTTGTTTCTGGTTGGTTAATACAGTTCATTTATATTTGGTTAATATATATTTTGTCTTTAATATTGGTGCTGGTGGCATCTTATGGCATCTATTTTTGCAAGTTAAAAGAAAGTTAGCAGGTTCATGTTTTGGTGATTTAATATTCTCTACTGTTGTTTTTAAAATGTTTTATTTATTTATTTATTTTGGGGGAATGGTGCAAATAGCTGGTCTTGCCTAGGGTGCAAAATAGTCTAGCACTGGCCCTGCATGTGCATTAAAAATCACTTTTTTTGCTGCTTTTTTTAGCTTCTGTTCCAGCAAGGTGCATATAAAATCTTGTATGTACATTTGCCTTGGCCACAGCATGCATATCCGTACATGGGCATTTTTTTACAACCAGCACAGTGTGCACTAAAACCTAATACATTTAGGGGTTGATTTGCTAAAAGCAAATAGTTTGTGCACTGCAAGTGTAGTTGCTCTAGATCTGAAGGGAACATGCAAGGAAAAAAAAAACTGCATTATTTCTTGCCCATGATTGGATGATAGAAATCAGCAGAGCTTCCCTTAATTTTAGAGCTTCCCCTCAGATCTAGAGCAACTGCACTTGTAGTGTACAGACTATTTGCCTTTAGTAAATCAACCCTTTTCTATTTTAACAGTTGCTTTTATTGATATAAGTATGCACTTCATGCAGTAGTTTTCCAACATGAGATGCACATTTAAAATATCTAACAGTGGTTAGATAGACCAAAAAACAAAACTAAACAAAAAAAAATCTAGCTTTTAATTTAGGCACACCACCACTTAGGTGGCGGTACATCCAGGCACTGGAATGTACACCGTATAGCAAAGCACAGAGCAAATAATGTGAGGATATGATTTGTTTCTTGGCATAATCAATGCACCAGCATTTTTTGTAGCTAGCTGAGCATATATGTTAATATAAAGTTTTTTATTAAAGAAACCACTGCAGAGAAAAATTTGCAGCCCAGAGTGCTGATCTCTCATAACTACTTCCCCTCCTGAGGATTTACCCCCCTTCCTAAACAGGCCATTTGCTGCGATACAGCGCTGCATTACTTTACCTGACAATTACGCAGTCATGGAACGCTGCACCCAAATGAAATTTACATCCTTTTTTTCCCACAAATAGAGCTTTCTTTTGGTGGTATTTGATTGCCTCTGCATTTTTTATTTTTTGTGCTATAAACAAAAAAAGATCAACAATTTTTAGAAAAAAAAAATATTTTTGACTTTTTGCTATTAAACATGTCCAGTAAAAAATAAAAAAAAATAAAATGTCATCATACATTTAGGTATTCTACTACATGTCTTTGCAAAACAAATGGCAATACGTGTAAATTAATTGGTTTGTAAATGAAGGTTTCAGTGAAAGTTATAGCGATTACAAATGACGGTATATATATACTGGATTTTTTTTTTACTAGTAATGGCGTCGATCAGTAACTTATAGCGGGACTGTGGGACTGCGGCAGGCATTCTGACACTGAGGGGGAACTGATTAACTGACATCCCCAGTGACACCAATACAGTGATCAGTGCTAACAAAAAGCACTGACACTGTACTAATGACACTAGACAGGAAGGGGTTAACATCTGGGGCAATCAAAGGGTTAACTGTGTGCTGTTTTACTATGTGCTGTGTGTGTGCTTTACACTGTAAGCATAAGACGTGACAGCGGAGAGGTCTATAGTGCACGCTTCCTACCCAGAAATACAAAATCACGTATATATACGTGATTTGCCACCCTGTTGCAGTATTTCTGTTAAAGGGTGGCACGGAAGTGGTTACTGAACATGTTAGTTACCTGGCCATCATGCTAGTCCAGCATTTTTGGGTCACTGAAATGAAAAATGCATATTGAATCTCTTGATTGATGTTCTTTCTTAGCCATTGAATTGCTGATTAATTGCAGAGGCACACCTTCTATCTCCTTAACTAACTGACCATCAAAGAGTTATGAAACATATCAGGCATAATGTACAGGGTCTAGGCCAGGGGTGGGCAAACTTTTTGACTTGAGGGCCGCAATGGGTTCATATATTGGACCCGGGGGCCGGACCAAGAGTAGATGAATGATGTGTTATGTGTCATCCATAGTAAGTATAGTAATATTCCCCCATAGTAAGCATAGTAATTAATCCCCCATATAGTAATTCATCCCCCATAGTAAGTCATCCCCCATATAGTAATTCATCCCCCCCATAGTAATTCATCCCCCATATAGTAATTAATCCCCCATAGTAATTCATCCCCCATATAGTAATTCATCCCCCATATAGTAATTTATCCCCCATAGTAATTCATCCCCCCCATATAGTAATTCATCCCCCATAGTAATTCATCCCCCATATAGTAATTCATCCCCCATAGTAATTCATCCCCCATATAGTAATTCATCCCCCATAGTAATTCATCCCCCATATAGTAATTCATCCCCCATAGTAATTCATCCCCCATATAGTAATTCATCCCCCATAGTAATTCATCCCCCATATAGTAATTCATCCCCCATAGTAATTCATCCCCCATATAGTAATTCATCCCCCATAGTAATTCATCCCCCATATAGTAATTCATCCCCCATAGTAATTCATCCCCCATATAGTAATTCATCCCCCATATAGTAATTCATCCCCCATAGTAATTCATCCCCCCATAGTAATTCATCCCCCATATAGTAATTCATCCCCC